CTGTTTAAATTGTTTTATAACAGTGTTTTGGGGCCCTCGGTAGGATGCTGTCCAATGTGAGCCAAGCTTTTGTGTTGAATTATAACCTTCTTACACTATTCTACATTTACGTACTTAATATATTAAAACCGAAAATTCATCATCTGATCGTCTTTATGAAATAATAATTATTTATTTTTATTTTGACGAACATTTTGAAGAGCATTAATTACTACAGGCCGAACACATAGTTAGATAATCTGTTCCCTGACCAAGATAACTATAAATAGAAATTATTTTTTCTTATCTCTGCCTGCATCTGTCATCACTCGGTGTCTATTAATTAATAAACATTTGATAAGGAAATAACGTTGCAATATTTAAACAAAGAAAATTGCAATTTTAAAGAAAATAAAAACTATTCAAGGACGTATATCAATTTAGATTATATACGTCCTTGGTCTATCCTAGACGTAAAATTTCAATAAAGTGCAAGAAAGACTTCATTTTAATTTCAGTATTGTCCTTTAGTTAGTCCCACAAGGACGTTGAGGTATGGAAATTATGAAATAGCCTGCTTCGTACATTATGTACATTTTCCCTAGACTCGGAATCTTAAGTGAAATGCTAGTAATACTTCTTTTATAGATTTTAGTTTAACAAATCTCGTTTCGGATATAAATCGCATTGTTTACGTGAAATCTTATCTCATATCTAAACACAGCTGGTTTCAACGTTTGACTCTAATTAGAATAACTACGCGTTTATGTTAGCAGCTTGTAATTGCGTGCAAGGAAGTATTCAAATGCTTATTAAAGTAGCTTGCGTCATAATAAATTTCGCATCATATGTAACATATCTCTATAGCAACTTAAGATGCTAATGATTCAACAGGTCAAATAATTAGCTATTGCGCATGTATATGAAAGGTGGCCATAGAAAGAAACAGATGTATTCCGAATAACATTCGGTGTTCCGAAAGACTACGGACATCGTCCAATATATACTGCGTAAACCCTCAGGGGTTTACGCAATAATCATTACCACTTAGGAAATAGATAATTTTCAAATAAATCTGTCACTCCAATTTTTATTGTGAGATAAGACATTATGCTTAGTCATAAAAAAGATAACAAGAGTATAATATTTAAAAATTCCACTTTTGGATATTAAAAATGGCGATAGCTCACAACGGAGATATACTAATATATTGAAAATTGACCTAGACCTTCATTAAGTCCCAGGAAACAACACATTTAAATTTGAAAAAAAATTGTTAAAGCGTTTTCATGTTATTGTGCTGACACTGTTTGGCAGCCGCCCCTAGATCCGCCCAGCCGCCCGCCGTACATCACCATTTTAATAACCGATATTTCCTTCGAAAATCCGGTTAAATATTTCAGGAATTTTTCCATTTGTAAAGGGGCATAACTCTAGAACGGTAAAAGTGATGCCACCAAAATTCAAACTTGATCTGTGTTTTATGGTAATATGCATTGTGTACAAGTTTCATAACATTTGGTTGAGGCAAACTAAAGTTAGAGAATTGAAAGAAAAATTCAGCAATTTTTCCATTTGTAAAGGGGCATAACTCTAGAATGGTAAAATTGACGACACCAAAATTGAAACTTGATCTGTGTTTTGTGGTAATAAGCATTAATTGTGTATAAGTTTCATAATATTTGTTTGAGGCAAACTAAAGTTAGAAAATGGAAACGAAAAATTCAGCAATTTTTATACGACCGCAAAAATTTTTGCGGTCGTATATTGGTATGACGTTGGCGTCGTCGTCGTCGTTGTCGTTGTCGTCATCGTCCGGCGTCGTCCGAAGACACATTGGTTTTCGCACTCTAACTTTAGTTTAAGTGAATGGATCTCTTTGAAATTTTACCATAAGGTTCAATACCACAAAAGGAAGGTTGGGATTTATTTTGGGGGTTATGGTACCAACAGTTAAGGAATTAGGGGCCAAAAAGGGGCCAAAAATAAGCATTTTTGTAACTTCCAGACATAACTTGTGTGTTAGTGTATTGATCTCTCTGACATTGTACCAAAAGGTTCCATATCACAAAGGGAATGCTAGGATTGATTTTGGGGGTAATTGCCTCAAAATATTAGGAATTAGGGGCCAAAAAAGGGGCAAAAAACAAGCATTTTTCTAGTTTCATGACAATAACTTGTGTGTAAGTGTATGGATCTTTCTGAAATTGTACTACAAGGTTCCATATCACAAAGGGAAAGCTGGAATTGAGTTTGGGGGTAATTGCCCAAAACGTTGAGGAATAAGGGGCCAAAAAGGGGCCAAAAATAAGCATTTTTCTAGTTTCCAGACAATAACTTGTGTTCAAGTGTATGGATCTCTCTGAAATTGTACCACAAGGTTCCATATCACACAGGGAATGCTGGGATTGATTTTGGGGGTAATTGCCTCAAAATTTTAGGAATTAGGGGCAAAAAAAGGGGCAAAAAACAAGCATTTTTCTAGTTTCATGACAATAACTTGTGTGTGTTAGTGTTTGGATATTTCTGAAATTGTACTACAAGGTTCCATATTACAAAGGGAAAGCTGGAATTGAGTTTGGGGGTAATTGCCCGAAACGTTTAGGAATTGGGGGCCAAAAAGTGGCCAAAAAAACACATTATCTAGTTTCCAGACAATAACTTGTGTTCAAGTGTATGGATCTCTCTGAAATTGTACTGCAAGGTACCATACCACAAAGGGAAGGCTGGGATTGAGTTTGGGGGTGATGAATTATAAGGGGGTTCAAAAAATTTGGTTGGGGGGATTTTTTTTTTTTCATTTTTTTTCTTTTTTTCCTTTTTTTTTCTTTTAAAATTTTCCATTTTAAGTTGGTTATTTATATTTAAAAGCAAATAATAATGATATGGTAGGAGATACACACCAAACAGGATGTGTAAATTATTATATAATAAGTATTGTGCAATAGCAAGAAATTTTCAATTGCACAGTATTGCACAATAGCAAGAAATCTTCAATTGCACAGTATTGCGCAATAGCAAGAAATCTTCAATTGCACAGTATTGCGCAATAGCAAGAAATATCCAATAGCACAATACTGTGCAATAGCAAGAAATTGTCAATTGTACAGTATTGCGCAATAGCAAGAAATATTTAATTGCACAGTATTGTGCAAAAGAAGATACTTCGTATAAATTGCTTATTTCTTGACCAATTTCAATGGGGTTTTATTCTTGAATTCTTGGGGTTCTTTAATATGCTGAATCTAACCGTGTATTAAGTTTTTTGGATTTTGGGCCCCGTTTTTAAATTGGTCCACATTGAGGTCCAAAGGGTCCAAAATTAAACTTTGTTTGATTTCAAAAAAAATTGAATTATTGGGGTTCTTTGATATGCCGAATCTAACCGTGTATTTAGATTCTTAATTTTTGGTTCCATTTTCAAATTGGTCTACATTAAGGTCCAAAGGGTCCAAAATTAAACTAAGTTTGATTTTAACAAAAATTGAATTCTTAGGGTTCTTTGATATGCTGAATCTAAACATGTATTTAGATTTTTGATTATGGGCCCAGTTTTCAAGTTGGTCCAAATCGGGGTCCAAAATTAAACTTTGTTTGATTTCAACAAAAATTGAATATATGGGGTTCTTTGATATGCTGAATCTAACTATGTATTTAGATTTTTGATTTTTGGGCCCCGTTATCAACTTTGTCCACATTGAGGTCAAAAGGGTCCAAAATTAAACTTTGTTTGATTTCATCAAAAATTGAATTCTTGGGGTTCTTTGATATGCTGAATCTTACCATGTATTTAGATTTTGGATATTGGACCATAATAGGTGAATGTCCAATTTAAAATTTTTAAGTTCTTAGACCACATTCATTCTGTGTCAGAAACCTATGCTGTGTCAAATATTTAATCACAATCCAAATTCAGAGCTGTATCAAGCTTGAATGTTGTGTCCATACTTGCCCCAACTGTTCAGGGTTCGACCTCTGCGGTCGTATCAAGCTGCGCCCTGCGGAGCATTTTATTCCATTTGTAAAGGGGCATAACTCTAGAATGGTAAAAGTGACGCCACCAAAATTCAAACTTGACCTGTGTTTAGTGGTAATAAGCATTGTGTATAAGTTTCATAACATTTGGCAAACTAAAGTTAGAGAATGGAAACCAATTTTTGGACGTACGTACCTACAGACGGACAAGGGTAAAACTTAATGCCCCCTCCGCTACGGCGGGGGCATAAAAAAAAAAATGTTTTCCAAGCAGACACTGAAGCATGAAAATGAGGTCACTACAATGGACATATGACAGACGGAAACTTCGAAACATAAGGTATCTGCATACAAGGTATGAAGCATCCAGTTCTTCTACCTTCTGAAATGTAAAGCTTATACAAATAGTTTACACTGCCACCACCAGATTGTAACCCCTATGTCTCTCATTCTGTGACTTTCATGGCAAAAAACCACAAAAATTGGTGAAAACTGTCTTTCAACAGTGTTAACTCCTATTAGAAATCAAATGAAGATTTGGCCAGGTATAACTTATTTGCAATCTCTTCCCACTGATCATAGTTACTAATTATAGTTTCTCTCAATCGACTATTGTTTCCAAAAAACTAACACAGAAATAAGCAAAATCCGGAGTCAACTGACAAAAATAATTACCCTAGAAATTGCCAAATTTAAATTGAGCAAATATAAACCACTTCATAGTATCAACCTTATAGATAGATCATGACTGATTTTATGTGTATGGCCATTGGGAGTACTGCAACTTATTCTTCAAACAAAAACACAGAAAGTACAAATTATTCTCTCTTAGTAGATCTTTCAAATCAAATTGTAATCTAAACAGCACTTGACCACTCATCATTTAAAAAGACCACAGGACTGGCTAATCAGTGAGTTTTACTACCCAATAGCAGTTTCTATTTGTCTGGGCAGGTGGCTAAGTGTTAACTTTTATCCCTATAGCTAAATACTAATGGACAGCTAGTACAATGCAGTTCAGAATGGCAATATAAAGTCAATTAAAAAAATCTTTAAAAATTATTTTATTCTGAACTTTCAAGTTCATAAAATGGCAAACAAAACAAAGGATATATAAATTAGTGATTTTTTCAAATACATTGGTAAAAATCTTTTTGTTCCCTTCCAGACAACATAAGATCCTATAAAATACAAATCCTGATTTATTTAATTACATAAACGTGAATAAAAACTGTCATGGCAGTCATCTTGAATCACATATATAAGAAACTTAAAAATTGACTGAACTCTCATGTCACAAAAATGATACTTTTTCACAATATGTTAACAATATCTATACATTTTCAACATAACAGCCAATAAAACTCAAAGTGCAATTTCTTATAAAAAAAAATCAAACATTTAATGCAAGAAATCATGGTTTCAAAATATTATGAATAACGTGATTAGCATGTACAAACACAAGTCATAACATTTTCTGGACAAATAATTTTCTTGTACAAATATAACTTGTGTTACCATCTTTTTTCAGAAACCTTTCGAGAAACATTGTATTTTTCTTAAAAACTTATCCCACAAAAGAAATAACTCAAAAATTATTTTTGAGCAATTGCACACATCATCAATTTAAAAAAAAATGTTGAAAGCATTGTTTTACTCCTCTGATTCATTGTCAAAATGGCAAGGAAATTACTTCAGAAGAATTATTTAGAAAGTCTTTTAATAACTAAGGCAAAGTAGTCAACTCTTCAGATATCATTGTGAGCTTATAAATTGTTCAAATTTCTAACTTCCATTGTTTATCTTTTTACTAATATTTTAGTTTTTATGGTAAAAACTGACAAATTGTTGTCAAGACATGTCTGTTTACATTATAAAAACTCACACATACTTACATTTTGTTATAGCTTTTTAATTTAAAAAAATGATAAATTTCTTTTAATGTCGTTTTTTAGAATATGGTAAACACTAATAATTAAACTGCAAGAAGTACATGTACAATTTAAAAAAAAAAAACCAATAAGATCTGTGGCAATTTTCTGCCAAAATTTTTCCTCTAATAGAGATCTCATCTTTGGAGGTTGGAACAGTAACAAAGAATACAGTCAATAATGTTGTTCATTTTCAGGTCCGAAAAATCTTTTGACCTAAAATGGTATTCAAAAAAAGAATCCACAAAAATCAATGAAGAACAGATATTATTTCATTAAAGATGGCAAACTGACTTTTATACATGTACATAAAGAACCACTATTGGGTAATGTGCTAAATATGCATAAGTGAGACAACAATAAATGGATGTAAATGTAATCATGTCAAACTATATACAACATATCAACTCTGAATCAATCGGGCAAAAAAAGAAAAGTAGAAAACAGTACCTTATCAAAGCAAGATAAATTAAAATTTGAACATGAAATCCAACAAAAGCATAACTACAAGCAATACCGTCTGCATCTCTTTGTGGGAACACAAAAGAAAACAAATCAATTCATAGTTTGTGAAAAATAAAAGTCAATTTTTAAGTATGATAGAACAATTTGAACTGTGAGAGATACCCCTGTTATAAGTTTACGGTAAACAGGATGTTGAAAAGAAAAAGATGTATTAACACATGATACAGTAAATAGTACACACATGAAGCTTGATAACAAATTTCAGGAATGTCTGATTCATAGAAACAGGATTCAACAGTATCATGTACTATTCTAAAAAGTTACAATTTGAACTCTGAACTATTTCTGTTGACTAAACGAAGTTAAGAATATTATTCCTGACCATTTATCTTTTTTGATTGACTCCACAGTTTCAAGATTTCCTCCAGTATTATTTTATACTGTCGTTTGTAGAACTGTGTTTATTGACGGATTGTCATCACATTATTTTTATCTTTCTACACATTAACATTTATTTGTGTGTTCTTATGGCAATCAAATATTTCAGAAGAAAGCTGGATTATGTATGAAAAATCACTAATCAAATTTGACTAATTGTACGAATGTTTTCACAAAATCAGTCAATTCCCTATTTGGTCCAGTTTTTCATCATTTCATTACGTTGGGAATAAAAGAAACTTTTTGTAAACTGATTGGTTCCATAATCACATAACAGATTGGAAATCCCTCTTATCTGCACACAAAAGTACACACATAATATTATTTCTATACAAAACTGAGTTTCAAAAACTGATAAATGATAACAGTACTGCTGTCAGTTGAATAAGTGCCCCCTTTTCATCTTTACAAAGAAATCATCAAATATTAAATTTTCAAAAAGAGAATGAACGCAGTAGAAAGTCCACAATTCATGTGCATTATTTATGATTTGAAGTGATCTCCCATATTAAAGACTTTTTCTATTGTAACATTTTGCAATGAACAATAGGAAATGTGGGTATTGTAGTTCCTTGACTATGTTTCTAGTATAAGCAAAGAACTATTTGGACTTCATGTGATAATGAAAGTAACGGCTCAATCGAAAATGAGGAAAAACAAGTTCTACTTATAAAACAAAATATAATAAAATGCTCCGCTGGGCGCAGCTTGATACGACCGCAGAGGTTGAACCCTGAACAGTTGGGGCAAGTATGGACACAACATTCAAGCTTGATACAGCACTGAATTTGGATTGTGATTAAATATTTGACACAGCACAGGTTTCTGACACAGAATGAATGTGGTCTAAGAACTTAAAAAATTTTAATTTACCTATTCAAACCATATCATTATTATTTGCTTTTATATATAAATCAGAAATAACCAATTTAAAATGGAAAATTTTATAGAAACCCCTCCCCCCCAAAATTTTTTGAACCCCCTTATGATTCATCACCCCCAAACTCAATCCCAGCCTTCCCTTTGTGGTGTGGTACCTGCAGTACAATTTCAGAGAGTTCCATGCACTTGAACACAAGTTATTGTCTGGAAACTAGAAAAATGCTTGTTTTTTGGCCCCAAATTCCTAAACGTTTAGGGCAATTATCCCCAAACTCAAACCCAGCTTTTCCTTTGTGATATTGAACCTTGTAGTACAATTTCATAAAGATCCATACACTTACAAACAAGTAATTGTCCGGAAACTAGAAAAATGCTTGTTTTTGGCCCCTAATTCCTATAATTTTGAGGCAATTACCCCCAAAATCAATCCCAGCCTTCCCTTTGTGGTATGGTACCTTGCAGTACAATTTCAGAGAGATCCATTCACTTGAACACAAGTAATTCTCTGGAAACTAGAAAAATGCTTACTTTTGGCCCCTTATTCCTAAACGTTTTGGGCAATTACCCCCAAACTCAATTCAAGCTTTCCCTTTGTGATATGGAACCTTGTAGTACAATTTCATAAAGATCCATACACTAACACACAAGTTATTGTCCTGAAACTAGAAAAATGCTTATTTTTTGCCCCTTTTTTGGCCCCTAATTCCTAAAACTTTGAGGCAATTACCCCCAAAATCAATCTCAGCATTCCCTTTGTGATATGGAACCTTGTGGTACAATGTCAGAGAGATCCATACACTAACACACAAGTTATGTCTGGAAGTTACAAAAATGCTTATTGTTGACCCCTTATTCCTTAACTGTTGGTACCATAACCCCCAAAATCAATCCCAACCTTCCTTTTGTGGTATTGAACCTTATGGTAAAATTTCATAGAGATCCATTCACTTAAACTAAAGTTAGAGTGCGAAAACCAATGTGTCCTCGGACGATGACGACAACGCCAACATCTTACCAATATACGACCACAAAATTTTTTTGCGGTCGTATAAAAATGCTTATTTTTGGCCCCTAATTCCTTAACTGTTGGTACCATAACCCCCAAAATCAATCCCAACCTTCCTTTTGTGGTATTGAACTTTATGGTAAAATTTCATAGAGATCCATTCACTTAAACTAAAGTTAGAGTGCGAAAAACCAATGTGTCTTCGGACGACGACGACGCCAACATCATAGCAATATACGACCACAAAAATTTTTTTGCGGTTGTATAAAAAGTTAAGATGCAGAGAACAAGACTTAATGTTGTGGTAAAAATAAATCACAAGGTCATGGTCATGCTCCATGTATCACCTATCAATAATTTTTTCAATTCCATGAAATGAAATAAACAAATGATAATTTCACCCTCACAAACAACAAAACTGTCCAGACTGTTAACAAGTGACTATGCAAGTGCATGTAATGAACAACTACACATTTTGTAAATCACAATCTCTATACAAATGAATGATTAAAAACATTTATACTTTACAATCTCTGCTTGCACACACAAATGTTAATCACTAAAAACTAAGCTTTACCAATACACCTCCTTCCACACTTACTTAAGGACAATGATAAAAGATTGGAACACATAGTAAAAATATAAGGTGGAGTTTTTAACAACAAAAGAATACACCTCTTGACAAGAGATCTGGTATTTAAATGTTGATTTCACAAAATATTTTTGGTGTATTGATTGATATATAAAATGGCAGTGTCACACTGTGATTGTGTGGTAGCACATTTTGGCATCTTGATCCCCTTTGTCTCAAACCATTTCATCACCTCCCTGAAACAAGATTAAAAATCATATTTGGTATTTTTAACAGAATGACTTTAAAATAAGAACAAAATTATACTTAAAAGATGCTTCGTAAATATCGAACACAAATTTTATTTAGTCTGTATATTTTTCTTAATATATTTTCACCTAAATAGTTATCAGTTGTAGTCTGGGTAAGCATTTTTGTATGGTAAAAACAAATAGGATAAAAATTATTTTATTTGTCATCAAGTTATATTATTCATCATATTTCACCCTATTTCAAAAAATCCTTTCCACACATCACTGTTCATTCTCAACACATTTTTTTGTAGATTTTATGAAAATAAATGATGCACAAAAGAAGATAATTAAGCATCATAAAAGTGCTAGTTTCTCATTTTCTTAAATTTTGTGCATCATTTGATTACATATATAAAGGTTTACAAAGCTGGTTTGAGTAACTTTTTTGGAATGTCAACTATATCAATGAGGTGCAATTTCACTGAGGTATTATAACAATGGTCGAAATTTATATGTCAATGGGTCATAAACCTTCTTCATCTTCTGTTAAGATGTCTGCAAAAACTGTGTGCTGATCTTATTTTTTTATAGTGTAAATGATGTTTACATGGGGGTGTTTTTTAAACCCTAGTCAAACGTCTGTACCCAAATTTATAAGTTGAGACCTCCCCCTTCCCTGTGCCAAATGCATACAGAATGAAATTAATATGTTGTTTTTACCTTTACCTGCGGTGGCATTCTGTGATGTGGCTGCAATCCCTGTCCCAGCAGCAGCTGCTTTTTGTTTGAGCATAGTCCAATCAAACACATAGTCATACTGATAATTAAGTGTCCTGAACAAAATACGGAATAACTGTCTTAAATACATATAATCTGGAGCTTCTTCAAATCGCAAACCTCGACAGTAATTCAAATACATGGCAAATTCTGCTGGGAAACCCTACAAATAAAATATAAATATTTTCTTTTATGTGAACAAAGGAAATAAATCTTACTACATAATCCAACTCATTCCATTTAAATATAATAAAATGCTTCGCTGAGCGCAGCCTGATACGACCGCAGAGGACGAACCCTAAACAAGTTGGGGCAAGTTTGGACACAATATTCAAGCTTAATACTCTCTGAATTTGGATTGTGATAAAATTTTTGACATAATATAGGTTTCTGACTCAAAATAAATGTGGCCAACGATCTTAAAAATTTGAAATAGGACATTTAATTTACCTAGAATGGTCTGATATCCAAATTCTAACAACATGGTTAGATTCAGCATATAAAAAAAACACAAAAAATTTAATTTTAGTTGAAATCAAACAAAGTTTAATTTTGGACCCTTCAAACCTTAATATTGACTAATTTGAAAACAGGGCCCAAAAAAAAAAAATCTAAATGCACAATTATATTCAGCAAATCATACAGCCACAATAATTCAGCTTTTGATGAAATAAAAAAAGTTTAATTTTGGACCCTTTTGACCTCAATGTAGACCAATTTAAAATGGGGCCCAATATCCAAAAAAATTATACAAGGTTAGAACCCCCAAAAATAAAACACTTAATTAATCCCATTGAAATTGGTTAAAACATTTGTATTTGTTTTCAATTGAAGATTTCTTGCTATTGTGCAATACTGTGCAATTGAAGATTTCTTTCTATTGGGCAATACTGTGCAATTGAAGATTTTTTGCTATTGTGCAATACTGTGCAATTGAAGATTTCTTGATATTGCGCAATACTGTGCAATTGAAGATTTCTTGCGATTGCGCAATACAGTGCAATTGAAGATTTCTTGCTTTTGCCCAATACTGTAAAATTGAAGATTTCTTTCTATTGCGCATTACTGTGCAATTGAAGATTTCTTGCTATTGCGCAATACTGTGCAATTGGAGATTTCAAAAATTTAAAATTTCAAAATTTTGAAGAAAAAAAGTTAACCCTTAAAAAAATTGAAACCCCCCCCCCTCCCCCCTTTGGAGTAATTATCCCCAAACTCAATCCCAGCCTTTGCTATTGTTATTGTCTGGAAACTAGAAAAATGCTTGTTTTGGCCCCTTTTTTGCCCCTAATTCCTGAATGTTTGGGGCAATTACCCCCAAACTCAATCCAAGCCTTCCCTTTGTGATATGGAACCTTGTGGTACATTTTCAGAGAGATCCATACACTTAAACACAAATTATTGTCCCCAAACTACAAAAATGCTTGTTTTTGGCCCCAAATTCCTAAACTGTTGGTACCATAACCCCCAAAATCAATCCCAATCTTCCTTTTGTGGTATTGAACCTTCTGGTAAAATTTCATAGAGATCCATTCACTTAAACTAAAGTTATTGTCCGGAAACCAAATGTGTCTTCGGATGCAGATGACGTCACCGACGACATCATAGCATTATAAGACGCAAAAAATAATTTGCAGTCGTATAAAAATTGTAGCATTAAGAATATAAGGAAAATAATTTTTTAACACGATGTTGTAAAAAAGTTACATGTGATTCAGTTATTAGAAGTAATACATGCAGTTACACATTTGTTTTCCATTTTTGTGATTTCAAAATATGCTATAAAAAGAAATCGTCATCTTTAAATGAACTATTGACACAGAAATGTCTCGCCTTTTTGCAATTTTAATAGTTAATGCAAATGTTGAAATTAAAATGGCAATATATGAAAATGTTAACTAGGCAAACAACGGTATACCATAATACGTCCCGTAAACGGGCGTATAAAAATTCAAGTCAAGAAACCATAACTGGGGGTTCAAGGCAAAATATCCTTAACGGAAAAGATAAATGCCAATGCTAGTAATTTGTATAATAAGTACCATTGATTATTCATAAATGATTTCCTTTAAACTGAAATTTAGTTTTGTGTACACAAAAACATCTGAGATTTAACCACAAGGATAGGTGCAGATAATGTTTAATTCAATGAATTTTCTTAACCTCCTGAAATTTACCTAAAATTCTTCACTGTCATTAGCAGGATTCTGTAGGACAGGATCAGGTTGCATTTGTAAATTTTAAAATCTGCATGCTAAGAGATACAACCAAATTTTCAAGCTTTTCTCTATATTCGCACAAGCATACACATATCTTAATTACCAGAAACATCAAATTTTATTGGCATATTGGATTTAATAGATTTTTAGTAAAAATTAAATCATCTTGAAGATTTATTGTAATGGTTTTGCCTTCTTAACATTTAAATGGAACACTTTGAATAAGGGTTATCTCCCTTTAATTCGTAATTGTAGTTGAATCAGAACTATGTACGTCTTAATAGAATAGTTTTCTTAACAAGTATAGTTATTTACATACACATCATTTTGTAACTTGAGTATCTGAATATATATTTATATTAATAAACATGGATATGGATCTAAAGAATGTCCACCTCACTGCATAGTGTTGCTTCAACTCTCAAAGCTAGAGATGAAACTTGGAAGACAAGTGACATCTTGAAACTTGGAAGACAAGTGACATCTTTACCCCATAAGCAACAATTCTGGCAAAAAAACAATGTCTGTTATATTTTTTTGGAGGGGGTTTCAAATTTGAATGGTTTCTGTCATGTATTCTCAGATTTTTGTATTAACATACTTTAAACATGTTAAACATAAGTATAGTGTCACTGCAAGACTTGATAGTGATGCATATGTGCTAACTCTGCAGGCAACACAAAAATATGAAATGTGAAACTTAAATCATAACATTTCTTTCTCAAATTTTTTGAAAGTGGTATTTCTTCATTTTATTATAACACAGAAATTTGGTATCAACTCTAGTCTGATTTGTAATACAACTCCATGCTGTGGAATTTGGCATGTCACTTACTTTACATAGCACTTCCACTGGTGTTGACATTTTCTTTTCACTGATTTTTTCATATTTTTGTTTCTTTGTGGCTGCCTAGAAAACAATAAAACCAACCTATTCTACAATATGTTAAATGAATATAAAAGTTAAATAAAATGCTCCGCTGGGGCGCAGCTTGATACGACCGCAGAGGTCGAACCCTGAACAGTTGGGGCATGTATGGACACAACATTCAAGCTTGATACAGCACTGAATTTGGATTGTAATTAAATATTTGACACAGCATAGGTTTCTGACACAGAGTGAATGTGGTTTAAGAACTTAAAATTTTTTAATTTACCTATTCGACCAAATCATTATTATTTGCTTTTATATATAAATCAGAAATAACCAATTTAAAATGGAAAATTTTAAAGAAAAAAAAGGAAACCCCCCCCCCCCCCCCCAAATTTTTTGAACCCCCTTATGTTTCATCACCCCCAAACTCAATCCCAGCCTTCCCTTTGTGGTATGGTACCTTGCAGTACAATTTCAGAGAGATCCATACACTTGAATACAAGTTATTGTCTGGAAACTAGAAAAATTTGTAAGGGTTCCGCGGAACCCAGTGTCTCGCCTACTTTTTCTGTTAATCGCAGGCTCAACAAAAATGAGGAAGTAAAACAATAAAAATATTTCACTTGATACTATCTTTTGATTGTAAGAAGCTTCTGTCCAAGTTTGGTAAAAATCCAGGATAGTTTATGAATCTAATAAATGTTTAAAAACTTTTACTGCAGACTGAATGTAATGTTAACTGGAAGAAAACAAAATTTCCTTCTAGATACTAGTATTTGATCATAAACAAGCTTCTGTCCAAGTTTGGTACAAATCCAAAATAGTATAAGAAAGTTATTAAAATTTTAAAAACTTTAACCACAGAGTGAATGTGTTTTTTCCTGGCAGAAAATCCAAGTCCATTTAAAAGTAAAATACAGAAAAAATGGATTTATTTTTTTACAAAATTTCCTTCTAGATACTAGCTTTTGATAATAAACAAGCTTCTGTCCAGGTTTGGTACAAATCCAAAATAGTATAAGAAAGTTATTAAAATTTTAAAAACTTTAACCACAGAGTGAATGTGTTGTTTCCTGGCAGAAAATCTAAGTCCATTTAAAAATAAAATAAGGAAAAAATGGATTTATTTTTTTACAAAATTTACTTCTGGATACTATCTTATGATCGTAAACAAGCTTCTGTCCAAGTTTGGTACAAACCCAGGATAGTTTAAGAAAGTTATTTAAATTTTAAAAACTTTAACCACAGAGTGAATGTAAAATTTCCCGGCAGAAAAACTAAGTCCATTTATAAGTAAAATACGGAAAAAATGGAATTTTATTTTTACAAAATTTACTTCTGGATACTATCTTATGATCATAAACAAGCTTCTGTCCAAGTTTGGTAGAAATCCAGGATAGTTTAAGAAAGTTATTAAAATTTTAAAAACTTTAACCACAGAGTGAATATTTGTGGACGCCGACGACGACAACGACGCCGACGGAATGTAGGATCGCTATGTCTCGCTTTTTCGTCTCAAGTCGAAGGCTCGACAAAAATGCTTGTTTTTTGGCCCCAAATTCCTAAACGTTTAGGGCAATTACCCCCCAAACTCAAACCCAGCTTTCCCTTTGTGATATGGAACCTTGCAGTACAATTTCATAGGTCCATACACTTACACACAAGTTATTGTCCTGAAACTAGAAAAATGCTTGTTTTTTTTGCCCCTTTATGGCCCCTAATTCCTAAAATTTTGAGGGAATTACCCCCAAAATCAATCCAAGCTTTCCCTTTGTGCCATGGTACCTTGCAGTACAATTTCAGAGAGATCCATACACTTGAACACAACTTATTGTCTGGAAACTAGAAAAATGCTTATTTTTGGCCCCAAATTCCTAAACGTTTAATGCAATTACCCCCAAACTCAATTCCAGCTTTCCCTTTGTGATATGGAACCTTGTAGTACAATTTCATAAAGATCCATACGATAACACACAAGTAATTGTCATGAAACTAGAAAAATGCTTGTTTTTTGCCCCTTTTTGGCCCCTAATTCCTAAAATTTGGAGGCAATTACCCCCAAAATCAATCCCAGCTTTCCCTTTGTGATATGGAACCTTGTGGTACAATGTCAGAGAGATCCATACACTTACACACAAGTTATAGTCATGAAACTAGAAAAATGCTTGTTTTTTGCCCCTTTTTTGGCCCCTAATTCCTAAAACTTTGAGGCAATTACCCCCAAAATCAATCCCAGCATTCCCTTTGTGATATGGAACCTTGTGGTACAATGTCAGAGAGATCCATACACTTACACACAAGTTATGTCTGGAAGTTACAAAAATGCTTATTTTTGTCCCCTTATTCCTTAACTGTTGGAACCATAACCCCCAAAATCAATCCCCACCTTCCTTTTGTGGTATTGAACCTTATGGTAAAATTTCATAGAGATCCATTCACTTAAACTAAAGTTAGAGTGCGAAAACCAATGTGTCTTCGGACAACGTCATACCAATATACGACCACAAAATTTTTTTGCGGTCGTATAAAACAGAGATATACTTGGCTTCTGTACATAGTCAAAGAAAACAATGCAAAAGGTAAGAGAACACTAATAAACGGGGAATGTGTCCATGGGACACAGATGATGCCCCCGCTTGCAGATAACGTTATAAAGGGATATAACTCAAGAACTGTAAAAGTGACGATACCCAAATTTGTACTTGATCTGAGTTTTGTGGTAATAAGCATTGTGCATAAGTTTCATAACATTTGGTTAAGGCAAACTAAAGTTAGAGAACAGAAACAAATATTTCAGAAATTTTTCCATTTGTAAAGGGACATCTCTAAAATAGAATAAGTGAAGCCACCAAAATTCAAACTTGATCTGTGTTTTGTGGTAATAAGCATTGTGTATAAGTTTCATAACATTTGGTTGAGGCAAACTAAAGTTAGACAATGGAAACCAATTTCGGGACATACGGACAGATAATGGAAAAACTTAATGCCCCCTCCGCTACGGCAGGGGCATAGAAATGGATCTTTTTCTTCTAAATTGAGATTTCTGGAAACAATAACTGTGTTCCAATAATTTCCTTTACAATCTCTTAAAAAATGCATCCTTGTTGAACCCATTATTTGTTCTGGTCGTATATTGTGTATTCTATCCCCTGTAAAGCTTGTCCTCCTATCCAAAGTCAACATTACAAAAACATTACATTTAATTTTCATAAACATGAGCACACACCACAGTCTAGGTAAAATTTTAATGGCAGATAATAATCTAAAAACAAAGAAGAAATATTTGGTGTATAAACTTAGGAAGCAAAATCCCTATATGCACTTAACCATCCTGGATGCATAGGAATAGTGAAATAATGCTTTTATTGCTATTCTTCATCTCAAAATCGCAATAAGGCCGTACATATAGAGAAAATGCTAACACCTCCAAGGTCAAGTCTGCCCCCTTGCTCAGTTTGAGGGAAATTCTTTGATGGATGTCCACAACAAAACAAGGTGCATTTAAAAACATATGCTTGGTATATCAATAAATTCCACACTAAAACTGGCATTGCTGATTATGTACTGCTCTGTATCAATAACTATATATTTTCAGCTATGGATCACAATTTGACATAGCTCATCTTGAGATGAAAGAGCCATTTTTTCAATGATACAAATTAATTCCACACTAAAACTGGCATTGCTGATTATGTACTGCTCTGTATCAATAACTATATATTTTCAGCTATGGATCACAATTTGACATAGCTCATCTTGAGATGAAAGAGCCATTTTTTCAATGATACAAATTAATTCCACACTAAAACTGGCATTGCTGATTATGTACTGCTCTGTATCAATAACTATATATTTTCAGCTATGGATCACAGTTTGACATAGCTCATCTTGAGATGAAAGAGCCATTTTTTCAATGATACAAAGTAAAGTGGACTCATTGAAAATCAATCTATGTTAAGTTAATATACATACCATTTATTATCCTCAATTTCTCTTCAGTAGCTATTTTCACAATAAAGATTGTCAAGTCATTTTCTTAACACAAGACAACAATGACATTATGGACATGGTGTAAATTACTTTATGAGGGAATGATGTTGAAAAAACCCTTTAAAGGCATCGTCTTTAATTCAAAGTTAATTATGCTAATTTCTCTACCAATAAATGGAGTGAGGATCATAGCAATCAACTGTGAGCTTCCAAGGATGCTTTCAAAGCTGTCATGATCACAATGTTATCTTGAACAAAAAAAAACATTGACTGCTTTGATCATGAACTTAACCACTGAATAGAAATTAAGGACAGTATTAGAGTTGATTTTATACCTTATTTACCTTCAGACCTTGCCACGGTAGAGATCCTCGGTTGAAGTACATCAGGACATACCCCAGTGATTCCATATCATCTCTTCGACTTTGTTCTATACCTAAATGAGCATTTATACTCGCATATCTAGCTGTTCCTGTCAAATTTTTGTCCTCTCTGTAGGGAATGTGTTGTCTTGTTCGACTATCTCGATACTTTTTGGCTAAACCATAATCCACTAAGAAGACCTAAAATTCAGTAAAATTAAATGATTAACACTTTACTTCATAAATAACTGGTAAATTCTATCAGTCATAAAAATCTGCAACAACAAAATTTAATCTAAATGTAAACAAATGATGTCTTCACACTTAATTCGTTGGTGGTGGTGTACTCATTGACATTGTACTGAGAGAAAACATGGTTTATTCATTAGTTGAAATAGGGATTTGAACTAGCTTTCAGTAACTGTCAGTACTCTTAGATCGACATTTTGTGTTTTTGTAATTTGTTATTTGCTTTGGTGCTTAGTGCCGATGTGTCAAGCCCTTTCCAACTAATATTTACAGTTTGTTCTTATGTTGTGTTTATACACCACTGTCTAGGTTAGGGGAGGGTTGGCCCCCATTAAGATGTTAAACACTATCAAATTCTTAAAGTGACTTTACCAAGTCAGGTTCCTGTTAACTAGTGGTTGTCAATTGGTCACTGTTTGCTGTATTTGTTTTTGTTCTTTGTTGTAGTATTAATCAGGCATTGTTTAACATACATAGAGTTTACTTTATGGAATGAGATTTGCATATCTGTGGATGCCATACAATTATTCACATCTTTGTCCTTTAGTCTTTTTGGAAAGTTAATGTTCTTTATTTTTATATGATACTGATTCCAATGTAAAATGTTCTTATAATGCTTAACTATCACTTTTTCACAGAAAAAAAAGGTAATACCAGACAAAACAATAAAATGTATCAAGAAAAATCAAAGCATCTAATGAACTAGTGTAAAAAACATAAGTTCTAAATGTAAAACAATTCTGTTGTTCTTTTGTTGGCATATTTTTCTTTTTCCTAAAGTATATTAATTTATTTTCATATCTTTCCATACACATTTAGGGTTTTATACATGTTTTTCTTAGTCCTAACTACGAGAGTTTTCTTGAACAGTATTGTTACCTTTTTCATCATACAAGGTATATGTATATTAAAAATGATACTGTTTAATCAAATCACAGAAAAGAACCAAAATGGCTCTGTGTTGAAGGCTGTACTTTGACCTATAATTGTTAACTTTTTATACATTGTGACTTGGATGGAGAGTTGTCTCATTGGCACTCATACCACATCTTCTTATTTTTACTACATGGACTTGACAAATCCAAAGAAAAGAAACATCACTTTTATTGTTGTTTTTCATCAAAGTGAGGCCTTCAATTCACATTTAAAGTAAACACCTCAAAGCTATGCCAATGCTATGGCAAGTTGAAATTGTTTGATGGATGTCGATAAAACTACAATAGCAAATTGAAGAATGCATGGTCCTAATACTGTGGATTCATTTATTTTTGTGGATTAAGAAAAATTTCAATTTTCTTGGATATTTCATGGTTTTACAAAGTCTGCATAAAAGCCTAAAGAAAATTTGTACTTTGTTGGACATTTAAATTTGTGGTTCACCTGTACCCACAAATTTTAGTATCAGATGAATAGTAATGCATCCACAGTAACCTATATTTTGAAACAGATCATCAATATCACTTTTTCTTTACACAATTCACCTTATTGCAGTGTCGCCCAATACCCATCAGAAAATTATCTGGCTTTATATCACGGTGTATGAAGTTTTTATTATGAACATATTCTATTCTGTTAATCATCTGAAATAAGAAAAACAAAATCATGTGACTACAATATAGATGGATTTTCTGACCAGTGAATGTAGTATGCATTAAATATACAATCCAGTTATTTTTTTTTCTCTGATTCTCAAAATAACATTGTTCGCCTTATTGTGTATGAGATACTGTTAACCCATTTCTTACATGTTCACCATTTGGACTGTAAAACTCAGATGAATGAATTAGTAGCCACTAGAAATTATTCCGATGTTTTCCCTTTTCTATAAACCCATCTGGTTTGCAGTTTTTCCTACCATAACTTGTCTATTTTCCTAGTGTTAGATGAGATTTCTATACACATGTCAATAATTATATTTTCCTTTTTTAATGGGAGAGAAAAAAATGGAGGATATGATAACAGAAAGGGGAGAGATGGACATGATGGACAAGACAATTTTCCTGAATTCTTACATGTATATCTAGCCTTTTTTTTCTTTTTTGAGTATGTGTGAAATGGTAATAATACCTTGCCCTTTTCAGCACCATTTTGTTGCCCAACACCCTTATCAAATGGTGCTATGGCTTTAAAAGTTACCATGGAAAGGTGTGATTATGGTCATTGAACTGTAAAATGTGCCTTTTTAAATGTTTTTCAGTTTAAATGTAAAAATTCATGTTTAAAGCAATTTTGAGATTATATGTTGTGTATCGTTAAGGCCCAGTTTTAGTTGCAAATACTATTCCATGTGTTCTGTTACACTCATTGTGTGTCCTTTTCATTTCTGTTTAATAAACAGTGTTTATGAAAATCAAATGCCATTTCACCTGCTCTCATCTGTTGATCTCTAAAGCACTGATGTTAGTAAACAATTTATTTATGTGTCTTTTGCCAGTAAAAGTAAATCATGTCAAAATTTGATCTTCCCTCATATGAATACATTAATAAAATTAAAAATCACAAAATATTATTGCTGGCTAAAAAAGGCCAAACATGAAAAAAAATATGATCCAATAAAAAGTTATTTCAAACATTTTTTTTAATTACCTGATCAGCAAGCATTAATACTGTTTTCATGGTAAATTTCCTTGAGCAGAAGTTGAAGAGATCTTCTATACTTGGTCCTAACAAGTCCATTACAAGAACATTGTATTCTCTCTCTTGTCCCCACCATCTAAAATTATTCAATTTTAGTGAAATAAAAGGACAAATTCACATGTTTATGTAACCAGATGTTCGATTAGCAGTTGATCATTACTTATACCCTGTCCCAATTTCCTAGACTACATGGGGAGATATATTCATACATGAACATGACCTTAAAATTCAAAGAAACTGAAAACTTAGTATGGCACAATGGGATGAGGCTTGGTGAGATATATTAAAGACTTGTATTTGCTGAAAAATATGTGACAAAAATTTCATGCATATGCATGGCATTTTAAACATATATAAGCTTTAGGCAAACAAGAAGTAGAACATGGAACTGAAAATGCATTAAACAGTATGGCATACCCAGTTGAAGCTTGGTACCAATGAAGCCAACTGATTTTTATCAAATATCTTTTAATTATTCATATTGTTTGTACTAAATGTTACTGGTACCCTTAATGAAAATGATACATTATGGATTGTTCATCAATAGGATGTATCCTAAGTCCCTTCGTGTATTTTAAATTGAACAAAATCAGAAAAAGAATGACATTGATGTTGGTAATGTTTACTTCAACTCTCATGAATCAAATACTTGTCAGCTTATGCTGAAGAAACAAAATGTTTGCTTTTATTTTAGAAAAAACTTCATCGAATTACTTTTTACAAACCATTATGTCATTATTTTAGATTAACAGGGCACCCATACTTAATAACCTTATGAAAGGTAAAATTATACAGCCAATTTTGTGTCAAAATAAGGTCATCTAATTCCTAATTCTCAGGAGTGCCCAATCCCCACTAACATCAAATCCAGGATCAGTGCCCGACCAAACCATTTAGACTAAAAATGTAAAACAGAACTCCTGTAAATTCAAGAAATCTGAATTAGGAGAAAATAAAATACAAATAGACTTCCTTACAGCTCTCCAAGTGTACAGGGCATGATAATATCCGTCCGTTTTTAATTAAATGATACAGGTCAGTTGTACAGTGTCTATATTTTTACTTAAAACATTTTCATCAAAAATGTGTTGTATTTTAGATTTATATCAAGCAGAACAACAACAATAAAATATATTGGATTTGGTAGACTATCTTATTTTTTTCAAAATTCTACTTCTAAAACTATTATTCTCTATCAGAAAACAATCACAATCCTCTTACAACACATACATATATATCCTGTGAGTTTTGTATATACCTGTCCAAAGCATCATAAACTTTTGACACCATGCATGTTAATTAAAACAACACCTAATTTGCTACATGACCCATTATATTTTCCCTCCTTTATAATCCCAAGACTGTTTATTCAGATACATCAATTAGTAAATTAGTCTACTGATCAACAAATCAATGTGTCTGATCTATTCAATGACAATAAACATGTAAATTGCAAATTACAACAATGTACATTTCTTTTGCGACAATGTATCTATTTTATGACATGTTCGTAACATGTGCTTTATTTCATTTTGACAGCCAATGTTATTATTGGCTAATGTATATAATTAGATCAACACCATGAACTATATGACATCAGCAACAACTGTTATCAATAAATGTAGTTGGGGTACACTCACCGTATATGGGGTATTCCGACCCCGCCTTGCAAGATTTTGTATAATTTGCTTTCATAAATTAACTGTGGGTGTCTGGCCTTTTGAGATTCCAGTTTAACTGCAACTTCCTGAAATATTAAATAAATAAATAAATTCGTTATTATATATAAACGTGAATAAATATCATTGTTATTATCAAACAAAGAAACGCCATACGTACCTCTCCATTTGCGATATTTATAGCAAGGTAAATGTCTCCAAATGATCCACTTCCTATTTTTCTCACTAAACGGTATTTTCCCCCAACATGAAATTCCCCTTTTGAAGAACTGGAAGCACTCGCCATGGCTATGATACAGAGGTGATTTTTTATCAATTCATTGTGTTGAATCAGTACTCAAATTCGTCATGATCGTGGCTGCTCAGTCGTAACACGATCAAGTCGTACATAACAAAGCCAGGCAATGGAATTATGGGATCGAATTTAAATCAGCTGATTTAGCGTCTCGTTGCTAAGGGCAATTTTCCTTTCCGCGCGGGTATATATAATTAATTGTAATATTATTTATTTATAAAAATTATTGAGAGAACGAAAGCCCAAATGTGTTGTTGATATGAACATCAGTAAATAAATATATATATTATTGTATATAATTGCGCAACTTGCCAGAGAATGTGGACAGTATTTGGAAGCAGAAGAAGAAGAAATATAATTCTGATTAAAATATGCGTAATGATGCGTGTTGAAAACGATAAGCATTTCTCAAGTTGAACCATTAGTTTAGGAATGTGTTGTTTCTCTAATTATGAGTGTTTGTATGTGTCGTTTTTTCCCGCACTTTGTACTGACTTATGTTGGACCTGGCACCTAATATATTATGTCCAATGTTGGCCCGACTTATGAAATTAAGATGGTATATATATAGGCCTAATAAATTTTTAAATAAACTTTTGTTTTTAATGATCATTAACATTTATTTCTCCACTCCCCTTTAAAGTACCTCTTTCCTGTTTTCAGCCAAACAATTCTACCGGTCCTTGTGCCGGACTTTTGGCTTAAATATTAGTACTATATTTAAGCCTCTGAAAATCTATATAATTACTTCTCTATACAGCTTTTTTCAATTGTTTTTTTCTTTCTTTTTTGCTTATTTTAGTTTTTGCTTGATAACAAATCTTAATTCCAACTCAAAAGTATGTCGCATCTCCTTCAGATATCCCTGGGACTATTATACTTAGTAGAATAGTCTCAGGATATCCCTATCTTCTTGAAATTGGAAGTAGTTTTTTACTGTTTGTTATTAGAATGTAGGTATTCAGTGTACGACATTTTGTCATTCTTCTGCATAGAGTCATTCATTTCAGGATAACTAAAAAAATAAAATATTATAGGAAAGATTTCTCGAGGGATTTGAAGACATTTCAGTATTGAGTCTAGATGTCAGACCTATCAACTTTTTTTACATGAACAACCTCTGAAATCAAAATGTTTTTTAAATTTATTCCTGAACCTTAATTACAATTTCATAAGATTTTTTCCTTTTCCTTTTTTATACAAATTTCCGAAAAGAGGCAGACATCAATCTTTAAGCAAAATTAATCATGATTTTTATCATGTTTTCAGAAAATGACATGCTGTTGTTCAAACTGCCTTGCTTTTCAAAGCGAAATCGGTCCTACCACTTTCAAAAGAAACACTAAGAATCCCAGCACTGCCAGCGAAAATGGTATTCATCAATCTTATTAAAATGAACTTGAATATCCGCACTCGCTCTTTATTATGCTTACTCGCTCGCAGCGACCAAGCATGAACAATGTTTTGATTTTAATTAGATTGGGTATTCATGCATTTAAAATGTAAAACTGGAAGACAAACGCATCTCATTTTTCATTAAAACGACACCGTGTAAGACGAATACAACAAAGCAATATAACTAATTAATTATTACAAAGTTCGCCTCGTTCTAAAACTGACCGTACCTCATGACTGTATATGCTTATTAGTTTATGAGAACTGGATGCCAACTCGAACGTGGACGGTGGATTGGTGATGGGTAGAGGGGGTAATTTGTAGTTTTTCTGAAATTCGTGGATGTGAATTTTGAAAGTTGACAAAATTTCTGCATATCCCTCAGTTGAACTATACAAGGTTCCGGTGGAAAATTTATGGGGATTTTAAAATCTTCTTTAAGCAACTAATAAACAGTGATAATTCACAAAGTAGCAATCTTTCAATTTAGTATGAAGCATAATTCATAACACGAAAAGACTGCTGTTTGAAAATAGAGCTAGTTTACATTCCTATTTCTCATCTACGATCGAGGGTGTGTGTGTGTGTATCAAGAACACGTTTGATAAAATATAAACGTAAAAAAGTTAAATAGAGGCGTTGATTTCCTATTTGTGCAGTTCAAGGACGCGCATTAAGTTCTTTTAATGATGCACAAATGTCTGAAGGTGGTCTGTTATTAGTAGGGACAAACCATTTATTTTTCTGGAGTAAGGTTATGTTAATCTCCGCACCACACATTCTCACAATTCATTTTGTTTGTAGTTTTGAGATTTCATCAGAAATAATGTCGTTTGATATTGCAATTTATAAAACATCAACATCATGGCTTTGATATTTGTCCTTTGGAATTGGTGGACAATCTCTCCAGTCCTGTATACTAGTATACAATGTTATTTAATACTGGAAAGCAATCAAATGGCGATATTTCATATATATCTGGCCAATTACGATTATCAAAGGTTTAACAGAGTATACGATCTTTTATATATACTGGGATATACCGTCGTCACCTTGTACGTTGTCCGTCGTTTGTCGTCCGTAATTTTTTGAAAACGCTTCATCTATAGTATATGTCGACTTTAAAGATTGTGATTTTCGTCCAGGTTGATGAACCAACATGGACGCCGTGGCTAAAAATATAACACAGGGGTCAAACTGCAGTTTTTGTTTAATTTCCTGAAAACTGCAGCAATAAGTGAAAAACTATCAGGATAAAAATGGTCAGCACAACAAGCCCTAATAACCCTGAAAATTAAAAAAAAAAACGTTTTTTTTATAGAGTTATAGCCCCTGGAAATGTTGATTATTAACGTTTTTTGGTAGTTCTTGGCTATAAGTTAGAAAACAAAGAACCTATGTTAAAAGTGTAAATTGGAAAAAAAAGATAAACTTGCAAGTTAAATATACCCCAAAAATTTCAGAAAAATCGGAAGACCCTATATAGAGTTGTTGCCCCTGAAATTTAAGATTTTATAAATTTTTAGCTTTTGACTGTCATAAGCTAAAAATTTATAAAATCTTAAATTTCACTCTGGATAAAATACAGATCCTGTGTCCATACTCTTACAATGATTTGACAACACTCCGCTCCATTCATTTTTTGTTTGTTTTAAATACCTTAAGGGATCCTATTGGTTTTGTCCTAACAATACTCATCTAAAACATTCTAAAGCTGAAATCATTCATTGGATGATGTGATTTCATTACCAGAGTGAAGTGTTGTCATATCATTGTAAGGGAGGTTGGACAATCTGTATTTCAATAATGATTGCCATATACATACATACTATTGAGGTCAAGAATTGTGTAGTGAGTTGTGTAATAAAGTTATGAATTATGTAATTCAAACATTAGGTAAATTTGGTCAATCAAGATTGGCATTAAAACTAGAGGCTCTCAAGAGCCTGTGTCGCTCACCTGATTCTACTTTGGGTTTGGAAATCATGTAAAAATAGATTAAAATCATAACAGATTCCCTAAAAATGATTGAGGCCAAATTTGGTTTAATATTGGCCCCATAATTTAATCAAAAGCAGAAGACTTTTGTAAAGTTTACAGAAATTACCAATAAATTCATTGACGTTGTAGAAAATGACTTTATAAGGACAATAACTCCAACAAGATGTCAATCTGAGACTACTATAATGTGTTATAGTAGTCTCAGTGTCAATTGACAATTTTGCTCATGTTGACTTATGTGTAGATCTTCTTTTCTTGATATTTTTGCAGTTTACAATATATCTCAATCTATAAAGATAAATGTATTAAGGTATTCATCAGCACCTCATAAGGAACATTTATGCCATGTTTGGTTTCATTCCATTCAGTGCTCCTCTAGAAGAAGCATTTGTATGTATTTCCCATTGGGTCTTATGTTAAACTAATTCCCCTGCTGGCGGCCAATTTGGATGATGGTTTGGCTACAAAGTAACAACACTTGGTCAGCACCTCATTAGGAACATTCATTCCATGTTTAGTTTCATTCTATTCAGTGGTTCTCTAGAAGAAAACATTTGTATGTATTTCCCATTGGGTCCTATGTTTAACTTACTCCCCCTGCTGGCAGCCATCTTGGATGACAAGTCAGCTACAAAGTAACAACACTTGGTCAGCACCTCAAAAGAAACATTCATACCATGTTTGGTTTCAATCCATTAAGCGGTTTTCTAGAAGAAGACATTTGTATGTTTTTCCCATTGGGTCCTATGTTAAACTTACTCCCTCTGCTGGCAGCCATCTTGGATGACAAATCAGCTACAAAGTAACAACACTTGGTCAGCACCTCAAAAGAAACATTCATACCATGTTTGGTTTCAATCCATTAAGCGGTTTTCTAGAAGAAGACATTTGTATGTATTTCCCATAGGGTCCTTTGTTAAACTAAGTCCCCCTTTGGCAGCCATCTTGGTTGATGGATTTGCTACAAAGTAACAACACTTGGTCAGCACCTCATAAGGAACATTCATGTCATGTTTTATTTCATTCCATTCAGTGGTTCTCTAAAAGAAGACATTTGTATGTATTTCCCATAAAAAGGGAATTCCAATTAAACTCCATCTTTGTGTCTTATAATTAGTAATTTGTTTATTGATTATGTCTGTTGTCATTCATACCAGTATTGTATACTCTTACTTTATAAGAAAAGAAACAAACTAGCCAGAAAATTGACAAACTATTGGTATTCTGATTTGAATAAACTGCTCTACAACCAAAATTTTATACAGTTCATTTGTGCATTTGTACAGACATAGGGTATTATTAAGAGCTATATTTCAGTGTAAATAGTTTTAGTGGCTAACACAGCTACATCCTAGCTGGTGGGTGAGATGATGCCTAAGGAAAGAATTAGAACAAAAGTTTGAATATTTTCAAAAACTACAGGCTCCAAAGCTGATTCGCTCACCTGATATTTTTGCATAAAATTGATGCAATGCACCAAGAACAGTGTGGGCAAAAGTCTGATCTTGCTGATCATTATGACTGTAAAGTTTCAGTCTATCTATTTCAGTTTTCACGATTTTAAGTAATAAATTGTGGACACAGAGATATGTCTAGCCTATCAGCATAAAATTCAGAAAAAGACAATCTGATGGACAGCAACATTGCTTATTAATTCAGTCACTGGACCATGATCAAGTGGGCAGGGCCTGAAAATGGTCGACAAACTGATATGTACA